ATTCAGATTCTGCGCGACTTTGATGGCCTGGTGAAGAGTGGTGAGATGTTGGTCGTGCTGGGACGACCCGGAAGGTAAGGATTTTCTCCACTACTCATAATAGTGTAACATGCTAATCAATGCAAAAGTGGATGTTCGACTTTCTTGAAAACACTTGCTGGTGAGATGAACGGTATCTATATGGACGATAAATCAGAATTGAACTACCAGGGTATTCCCGCCAAACAAATGCGGAGACAATTCCGTGGTGAGGCTATCTATAACGCCGAAACCGATGTTCACTTTCCTCAACTATCTGTTGGTGATACCCTAAAGTTCGCTGCACTTACTCGTTGTCCACGAAATCGATTCCCCGGTGTCTCGAAAGAGCAATATGCCATCCATATGCGCGATGTTGTGATGGCCATGCTTGGTCTCACGCATACCATTAACACAAGAGTCGGTAATGACTTTGTCCGTGGTGTCAGTGGTGGTGAACGAAAGCGTGTCAGTATTGCAGAGGCAACCCTCAGCGGCAGTCCTCTCCAGTGTTGGGATAACAGTACCCGTGGTCTGGATAGTGCAAACGCCTTGGAGTTCTGCAAGACCCTAAATCTGATGACGAAATATGCTGGTGCTACAGTCGCTGTGGCTATCTACCAGGCTTCTCAGAGCGCTTACGATGTTTTCGACAAAGTGACTGTCTTGTATGAAGGCAGACAGATCTACTTTGGCCGCACAGATGAAGCAAGGGAATTCTTCACTAACATGGGATTCGAATGTCCGGAACGTCAAACGACTGCCGATTTCCTTACCTCCCTTACCAGTCCATCTGAACGTATTGTGAAGAAGGGCTACGAGGGCAAAGTTCCACGAACACCAGATGAATTCGCTGCTGTTTGGAAGAACAGCGAGGCACACGCGAAATTGATAAGGGAAATCGAAGAATACAACCGGGAATTCCCCCTGGGTGGTGAATCCGTTCAGAAGTTTGTTGAGTCCCGCAGAGCAATGCAGGCGAAGAACCAGTAAGTTCATTGGCAAGATGCAAGAAATTCCCCTGGTTGTTAATCTTATCTTCCTGTAGGCGCGTGGGATCTCCGTATACAGTTTCCATCTACGAACAGGTCAGACTCTGCATGATCCGCGGGTTTCAACGCCTGAAGGGTGATTCCAGTTTGACCATGAGTCAATTGATTGGAAATTTCATCATGGCCTTGATTATTGGAAGTGTCTTCTACAATCTGCAGCATGATACGTCAAGTTTCTATTCGCGTGGTGCTTTACTTTTCTTTGCCGTGTTGCTGAACGCATTTTCCAGTGCGCTCGAGGTATGTGCAGTTCTTTTTTCTCGTTAGCTCTGAGGCAACACTAATCAGCGCACTACGCAGATCTTGACTCTGTACGCACAACGTCCCATTGTCGAGAAACAGGCCCGTTACGCTATGTATCATCCGTTCGCTGAAGCTATCGCCTCTATGCTTTGTGACATGCCCTACAAGATCACGAATGCAATAACATTCAATATCACCCTTTATTTCATGACGAATCTTCGCCGTGAGCCGGGTCCATTCTTTGTGTTCCTTCTATTTACTTTTATGACTACCATGACCATGTCCATGCTTTTCCGTACGATAGCCGCTTCGTCCAGGACCCTCTCTCAAGCTTTGGTGCCTGCCGCCATCCTTATTCTGGGTTTGGTTATCTACACCGGTTTCACCATCCCTACTCGGAACATGCTTGGCTGGTCGCGATGGATGAACTACCTTGATCCTATTGCCTATGGATTCGAAAGCTTGATGGTCAATGAATTTCACAACACCAAATGGAAATGCTCTGACGCAGAGCTTGTCCCGAACTATGCAGGTGCCTCTCTGGCGAATAAGATTTGCTCTACAGTCGGTGCTGTTGCTGGTTCCGAATATGTTTATGGCGACGACTACCTCCAGCAGAGTTTCCAATACTACGAGAGCCACAAGTGGAGAAACCTGGGTATTATGATTGCCTTCATGGTGTTCTTCATGACCACCTATTTGACTGCTACTGAGTTCATTTCGGAGGCTAAGTCGAAGGGTGAAGTTCTACTCTTCCGCCGTGGTCATTATTCTCGTGGTGCGGCTGATGTCGAGACCCACAACGAAGTATCTGCCACCGAGAAGACGAATGATTCCAGTGACGGCGCAGGTGCTGCAATTCAGAGACAAGAGGCCATTTTCCACTGGCAGGATGTATGCTACGACATTAAGATCAAGGGTGAACCTCGGCGCATTCTCGATCATGTCGATGGCTGGGTCAAGCCCGGTACTTGTACCGCTCTCATGGTAAGCTTACGGTCGCGACCTCGTTATGTTCTTTTTTCTGTTGCTTACATTGTCCTATAGGGCGTTTCTGGCGCTGGTAAAACAACACTCCTGGATGTACTTGCTACTCGTGTGACAATGGGTGTAGTAAGTGGTGAGATGCTGGTCGATGGCCGCCTACGCGACCAATCCTTCCAGCGAAAGACGGGTTATGTTCAGCAACAAGATCTTCACCTTCATACCACCACTGTGCGCGAGGCCTTGAAATTCAGTGCTATCCTTCGCCAGCCTGCCCATGTTAGCCGTCAGGAGAAGCTCGATTATGTCGAAGAGGTGATTAAACTGCTTGGAATGGAAGCGTACGCAGATGCGGTAGTTGGCGTTCCTGGTGAAGGTAATTTTCCGTCTCTCAGGCCTACATTCTCTTAATTTTTATGTCGTCCTATACTTCGTTCATGTCTAACGCAGTACAGGTCTGAATGTTGAACAGCGGAAACGTCTAACCATCGGTGTTGAATTGGCTGCCAAGCCCCAGCTGCTTCTGTTCCTCGACGAGCCCACGTCCGGTCTGGACAGTCAAACTTCCTGGTCTATTCTTGATCTTATCGATACCTTGACTAAGCATGGTCAAGCCATTCTTTGCACCATTCATCAGCCTTCCGCCATGCTCTTCCAGCGCTTTGACCGTCTACTCTTCCTGGCCAAAGGTGGTAGGACCGTGTACTTTGGTGAAATTGGAGAGAGATCATCGACTCTCGCGAGCTATTTCGAACGAAACGGTGCCCCGAAACTCCCCGTTGAGGCAAACCCGGCTGAATGGATGCTTGAAGTCATTGGTGCCGCTCCCGGATCCCACAGTGATATTGACTGGCCTGCCGTTTGGCGTGAGAGCCCTGAGCGCGTAGCTGTCCGCGACCACCTTGCAGAGCTGAAATCCACACTTTCGCAGAAGTCAGTTGACGCTTCTCACAGCGATGAGAGTAGCTTCAAGGAATTCGCTGCACCCTTCAGTGTGCAGCTGTACGAGTGCCTGGCCCGCGTGTTCTCCCAATACTGGCGGACACCAGTTTACATCTACTCTAAGGCAATTCTCTGCATTCTCACATCTCTCTACATCGGTTTCTCCTTCTTCCACGCAGAAAACAGCAGACAGGGTCTTCAAAACCAGATGTTCAGTATCTTTATGTTGATGACTATCTTCGGTAACCTTGTCCAACAAATTATGCCCAACTTCGTCACCCAACGTGCCCTCTACGAGGCTCGTGAAAGACCTTCCAAGGCATACTCCTGGAAAGCATTCATGACAGCCAACATCCTGGTCGAACTCCCCTGGAATGCCCTTATGAGTGTCATTATCTTCGTCTGCTGGTACTACCCAATCGGTCTCTACCGCAACGCCGAACCCACTGACAGTGTCCACGAGCGTGGAGCCCTCATGTGGCTCCTGATTCTCTCCTTCCTTCTCTTCACCTCCACCTTCGCGCACATGATGATCGCTGGTATTGAGCTCGCCGAGACAGGTGGTAACCTTGCAAACTTGCTTTTCTCCCTGTGTCTGATCTTCTGTGGTGTCCTCGCTACCCCCGAGACTCTCCCCGGCTTCTGGATTTTTATGTACCGGGTCTCCCCATTCACATACCTAGTATCAGGAATGCTCGCAACGGGTGTCGGTCGCACCACTGCCGTCTGCGAAAAGGTCGAATTCCTGCACCTCACCCCGCCAGCCAACACCACCTGCTACGACTACATGAGCGATTACATCGGAAACTTCGGCGGCTACCTGGAAAACAACAATGCTACTGACTCCTGCTCCTTCTGTCAGATCTCGAGCACGGATACCTTCTTATCTGCGGTTAGCAGTTACTACGAGGACCGGTGGCGCAACTTCGGTATCATGTGGGCCTTCATTGTCTTCAACATCGCCGCCGCGGTGTTCATTTACTGGCTTGCCCGTGTGCCTAAGGGCTCGAGGTCTAAGAACTAAAAAAGTGGATCCTAATTATGGATCCTCTTTTTGTTTTCTTGTCTTAATCTTCCTTCTTTTCTTTCTGGATATATCTTTCCGGTTTAAAATAATTTGCGAATCTCTGAAACCCTGACGTATAAGAGAGTCGAGGTTTTCTTCTGTTCCTCTGGTTATGAACCATGAGTTCTGATTTAACGTATATACCACCATATCACGTTTGATGCTCTCCTCTATGTTCCTGTTTATTTTTTCTTGCTTCTTTTGTACATGTCTTTGTACGATATATCCGACTTCCTTGCCTTGGGCTTGGATTGTTTATTGGTTCTTTGTTTTCATCGGACATATGGGTGGTTTACTGCCCTGTTAGACTTGCATATACATGTCTAGAAGGCAACTATAGCTACATACAATACATATCGAATTTAATACATTATAGCACAAATCTGTATTTTCTTCATCATTTTAAGCGTTTATCTGTAAGATTTTGTGATGATACTTCGCCTTTGTGACTTAATTGGCCATTGAATTTTAATGTGGTGAGAGTCAACTCTCGATTTTTCTAAATAGCGTTTTCTTTCAATAAATGTTTAAAGCTTCCATTGTATTGACGGAAATACAGACCACGGCCGAAACGCCTAGATTGTCTGATATAAGACAGACAGACAGACAGGAGGGTAGAGATTACGAGGATGAAAAAATATTCTACAGACAAAATTTTAAACAAGAAGACAAATGTTGATATAGAGCAGTTGTAAGGTAGACGAGACGGTGTCACCATGTAAATGCCTCCTCGACGAAATCCACGACCGCGCCCTTGCCGATGTTATCTCGGGCAGCAGCACGAACCTCGTCTGCGAATGCGCCTGGTCCACAAACGGAAACGATGGTGGCTCCCACGCGGTTGGGGATGACCTCATCCAGGACGACATGGGGACGACACCGACCCGGGAACATTTGGACGGTGGCGCTGGGTGAAACGATCTCGCGGCTGCTCTTTGGTTTTGAGACGAAGAGCTTAATTGTCAGGATGTCACGGCGACCGGGGAGGCGGAGGATTTCATCCATCCACTCTTGCACCCAGGCGAGATGCTCTGTGCTACGCACAGACCAGATAAGGTAGACTTTTTGCGTGGCTACACGGCCTTCGGATGCGCGGATGATCAGGTCGCGGACGTACAGCATATGGTGGGTGATACCTGCGCCGGCAGAGAAGAGTACGGCGGTACCATAGCTGCCCATGTTGGAGACGTGCGATCTGTACGGTCCTTCGATGTATCCTGAGAGGTGTAGTATTTGATTGGGCGCAATGAGGGCTTTGTTGTATAGCTTTCTCGTCATACCTTGGCGAGCACTTACTATCAGAGAGACAGATGTTGGCTCTTGGCTTTCTCTCATATAGTCGTCCAAATCAACCACCGGTTGTTTCTCAAGGAGCGATGGACTCATGCTTCCGGTGGAGATTGGGCTTTTGGCGAACTTTTCCGGTTCTGCTGCATTTGTTACAGAGCTGCAGGGGTCAACCCAAGCAACCGAGAACGGATGGGACATCCACAAGGAGACGCTTGGGATGTAAGTATACACGTGGCTTCCGGGGTTAATGTGAACGTGCTTGGGCAAGTGAAACGTCACCTTGCAGGCCTCACCAGGGAGAGCCTGGACAACAAGTTTGGTGGCCCCTTTCCTGGGCGAGATGTTAAGGTACAACAGTCTGGAAAATCTAGCTGCCCGATCGAAAATCCAAATGGCGGCAATTGCTATGGCCCAGGGTTTCTGAGGTAAGCCATCGAGATCCAGGTGAAGCCACACACCAACATAAGCTAACAAGGCAGCAAGCTGGTGGAGATGCAAGAAGGTTTCATAGAAAGCATGTCGGACCGGTGAAGGTGAGTGAAGCGAGAGGAAGACCAGTGCAACAGTTCCAACCAACCCCCAAGTGAAGAAAGGCGTATCACATAGGCGCTTTAGCATGTCTGAGACACTTACTTCATCGACTGCATTGACTGCCCAAGCTATTGTGTGCACCACACTTTCAATCACAACAATGCGGCCGAGCCATCGGTGAAGACAATTGTACGTGTCGAAACTTATGTGCAGGATTGCAATCAGTGGGTTATTACGACCTGCAAGGAGGAAAAGTGGGACCATATTTAGAACAGCCAACGTTCCTGATCGCCCGCGAAGCTCAGCGACAAGAGCCTTTTTCTCATTCACGCGGTAGTCGAGTATAGTGCAATAAGCGACTTGACTTGCAACATACAGTAAGATCAAGATCGTTTGGAACCTGGACGGCAAGGTGCCCACGTTTATGGCGGAAGAAAGTTGTATTTCTCGATTGTGTCTTTTTCTGCCGAGAGGCGAATATAGCAGATGTTTCTTGATGTTCGTCCATGTGTCGGACTCTTCGATACTCCAGTATGTCTGTTGCCTTTTGGTCGAGTTCAACGAGGTGATATGGCGGAGGTAAGCATGGCTTATTTGGGCAATCCGACCGCAGAAGACAACAAACGCGATGGCGAGGACGGAGACGTAGATAATACGCGTGATAATGACATCTCGGGGGACATTTACACCACCTAGCCCTCGTGAGAACTCGTAGACGTACGTGGCATTGGTCCCATAGCCTCGCGGGATGATGTGCCGACGAAGATCATCCATCGAAAGTTCGGGCTCCCTATGGCCAAGAGTGAAGTCTGATCGTTGACGTTGGGATACTATAATGAGTTCAGAGAAAACGAGCGTGAATCAAGGGGTGATAAAGGATTGCCGATGGTGAAAGGCCGAGTCTAATCTTGTCGACCCCTCGGATGGAATATGACGTGATAAAGAATGTTGGATTGCGGAGGAACAAGTGGAATGCAGCTGCCATTCGCTGATTGAATGCAACAATGTTCTTCTATTGATGATGCGTCGCGGGTGTTACCAGGCTATCGCTTTCAGTGTTTGTTCCAACAATTGGATTGTCCGCAATTGAAAGACACGTTCCTTTCAAGAGTAAATTGTATCTCAGTTGGACAAAAGATATTTGGATTCTCCAGTGACTTCAAACCTAAGGCACAGTCAGTTGACATCAGCAGCTATCCAGCCTTCGAAATGTACTTACTCGCATCTTCCTACATGCATAGTCTAAACCAAGGAGTCCAGCAAGGGGCAAAAAGACGCTCAGCGTCAAACGACAAATAAAGAGCGGATCTTTTAAGTAAAAGTCTCAAAAGAGCAAGAGAAACAAACGGGTGTCTATTGACTAAGACAAAGCTCTTCAGCTACGATACGAACGGACCAAATGTCGGCAGTGTGAACAGTTGGTGGAGACGATAAAGGGGGGAAAGCCCCTGACCAACTTGCCAGCAATTTTAATACGTAGAAGAGTGTTAAAAGAGTGTTAATACCAGCAGACAACAAGAGAATGTGTTGAAATGTGATCAGAGCCAGCTGAATCCGTCAAAAAATCGAGCGATAGGGAAGAGAATGACGAAAAAGAAGAAATGTAGAGTTTAGAAGCCGATAAAGAAAGTTGCCTGACATCAGGATCCGCGCTGCAATTTAGGAATATCTTCACCTTAAAAGGCAACCACGGAGACCACTGCGGATCTGAGCTTGCATAGTGCTGGTTGGTAAATAAGGACCAATAACTAGCCCTCTGAATTTTTTAGCAATCGAAAGTGGCGTGGTCTTATGAAGGGTTCTTTTCCCAGCGCTAAGGAAGGCGTCAAGCGGTCTTATTTCGGCAGGGAGTCCATGAGAAGAGGATCGGTGTTTCGACTTGCCGAATTGGTCCATTCACCATCGAGGAATGGGGTCCTCTAGTAGGCCCACGGACCCTTGCTGATAGGATCCGACCGATAGTATAAACTGTGGACTATAGCCGCTGAGTAGGTTAAAGGCATCCAGCCACTGCTTCCATGGCCTGCAGCTATTATGATCCAAGAGTCTCGCCACTTCCCGTGAGGTGTTCGAACCTAGTTGATCACGAAGGCGCATTGCGTGTGTTTCAGCTTCGCAGAGTCAACGGGAACCCGCGCTTCGTATTGGCCAAAACTTGCTCGGTAGGTAGTATCGATGACCCACCGAAAAAGTTAGGTAGAAAATAGCGAAGGTGGACAGGGTACACATCGTGAAAAAGCAGTTCGCTACTGTAAAACCAAGACTGGCAAGACAGTTTTGGGTGCTTCAGAATGAGACAATGGTCGCATTCGCGATCCAGTCTTTATTGGTAGGCGGAGTGGGCAACAGTCACATGGTGGTCACGGGTCCCAAGACTTTTTAATCTATTCCCTATATTGGGTAATATTATTTTGCCCTGCTATTGCCCAGGTTTTGTTCTCAACAACGGTGGGCTTTCCACTTTGGTCACTTTGGCGACTTGGGTTGAATTTTTCCCATTCAGCCCCGATTAATAAACAGTTTTCTCACCTAATAGGAATGCCGTTGAAATTGAAGGCCCATCCCAGGCTTAATATCTCGATTTCCATTGCCTAAAGACTTTGCCGGTATAAGGCTAAATAAGGCTAACTTACTCCGAGGGGCACTGGAAATTCAATAGTTTCCCTAAGCGCTCGGACCTGAACTTATCGAAAAAAATATTAATCAGAGTCTAGCTCATGCCAGCAATATATCCAGAACATGGCTAAAAACGTGGCATGACTAAAGAAGGAAAAGGCAACACAACTGGTTGACAAGCTATATCAATCGAAACTAATGAGTGGGTGTAGGAACGGTGGAGTGGTATTCTTTTTTTGATTCGAACGTTAAAATCATGGCCTATCAGTCATTAAGAAGAAAATCGGAACTTGGGCTCCGAAAATATGTACAAGTGAATCCTATTCTATACGGAGCTTTCTCTGCCATGCTTGTTTACCGTCCCATCCAACCTCCGTCAACGCAGATGACTTCTCCAGAGACATAGCTGCTTGCCTGACTAGCCAAAAACACAATCACCCCCTTAAAGTCGTCGGGGCTGCCCCATCTCCCTGCCGGAATTCTAGCCATTATGCCTGCGTTACGATTCGAATCATTAATTAGAGCCGTGTTCATATCCGTTGCGATGTATCCGGGCGCGATAGCGTTCACGTTAATGCCCTTGGCGACCCACTCGTTCGAGAGTGCCTTGGTCAATTGGGAAATACCTCCCTTGGAAGCTGCGTAGGCAGGGACAGTGATGCCACCCTGGAATGACAGGAGGGAAGCAACATTGATAATAGATCCGCGACGACCAGTCGGGAACTCAGATGCATCTCGCGCCAACAGATAGGCGCCGAATTCACGGCATAGTGTAAATACTGATGTCAGATTGACTTGGATCACCTACGTAACCAGCAACCGCCATTAGCTTTTTCATCCGGCGGGAAGGAACCAAAAACATCTGATCCGTGGGGAAAAGGGTTAGGCTCACCTCATCCCAGTCCTCATCTGGGAATTGTTCGCTCGGATGCCTTCTCTGGATTCCGGCACAGTTCAGCAGAATCTCCGGTTTCAGGCCTTGGCTAGTTAACGCCGGAATGACCCCTTTAATTGCATCCCGACTAGATAGCTCCGCTACGTGAATCCAGGCTTTCTGGCCAATGCGGTTAATGATCTCATCACGGGTGGAAGTGTTGGATTCGTCTCTCTAGTATCGCTCATAGGTCAACATTCTATATCTAATGTGGCCTGCCATACGGCATCAAATAGTCACAAGGGGCACGTACCTGAATCAGTACGATATCAGCGCCAGCCTCTGCAAGCGCAAAAGCCATTGCCTGTCCAATTCCTCTCGTTCCTCCTGTAACGATAGCGGTCTTTCCGCTTAGCGAAAAGAGTGAAGCCGACATTGCGATTGCTGTGGTATCAAGTAGAGTCCAAGATGTGAATTTTGAGATTCGCTTTTCGACTGTAGCTCCCGCTCTTCTTCGAGTGTTATGAATCAGGATAGTCCCCAGGAAATAATAAAAGAGTTTCTCTTGATCTTGTCATTGTCATCGCGCTGATTTCTTCCATTCATAATAAATGTCCCCCCACGTGCGGGGCGACATTACCTGAAACGGATATTTCTATTGCCGGCTCGGTGATCAAACACCGATTCCCCGCAGTCGGTAATTGAACAACCCTCGCCAAGCATCCATAAAGCACGTGCCATGTATGATTACCGTCACGGGACCATTAGATACACTCGATCTAGGTTGTGGTTTACTATCACACACTAAAGGTAGGCTTCGGTGGTGGCAATAATCATCTATCAGCTATTATATATCCATTGAGTGAAAGACACTAGAATAGAGCTGCTGACTTACCAAAAGTTGCCGTTGAAAATATCAAACTCCGGCGTATTCTACGGTCAAAGACAAGGTGACACATAGCCAAAGCCCAATGAGCGACAGGGGCTATATAGATCTCTAGTAGATAGCGGGCTATCTCATGGTCACTAAGACTCTAGAAGAATCGGCTGATATTCATTGCTTTCTGGGATTCTGCAAGAGAGACCAGGTCACCTATGTTTACTTGCTAATCTCACATCAGCTATAGCCTATATAATACGTTGCCAAATTGGGAAGATAGAAGTAACTTCCAGGTTGCTTGATGAAGGGAGTGAGTGAGAAGACGATAAATTAAGCATTTCATGATCACCTTCATCTAAATAACTTCAAACCTTCTCAGGTTAGTCTATGAAGGAAGTTGATCAGGGGTTACTAATTGCTCCTTATACACTTAAAACTGTACAAACCATGATACAGATGTATGCATGTATGATGTATGTATGAAACCAAGTATTGAAACACCCGCAACGGTAGGTAGCTTTAACCGTGGGTCACTAACTCCAGGCTGTTAGCCATACATGCAACACATCCCGATCAATCTTGACTGTTGACTTAACAATTTGGAATACAGGGTCGGGGGGGTATGCTTTATTCCATACATGCCGCATAATACGGATTATCAATTCAGAAAAACCCTTTGTGTGGGGAAAGCACGAGCGCCTTCGAGATTACCCCAAAGATAATACAATTTACCGGTCGATCTCCAGAACAACGGAGCTATTTTCTAATCGCTATTCTACAGTTTATTTCAACCTGAGCCTGTTTCAATTGGCCTCTTGCTTGGTTTACTGGGAGTAGCAGCCAGATTCTATTTACGAGTCTTGACGCGTTGTCAAAACCTGCCTCCAACACTGCGTCCATGAAGATGTCACTTCTGACGTGTTACCTCTAATTTTGAGTCGGACATTTTTCTCTCCGCCATCCTCCTCGTCCCACAATTTATTTTCATTTTTGATTTTGTTTAGATCAAGGGCAGAAATGGATCAAGAAGAGCAATCCTCGCAGCGGGAAAGCACACCGGCGACGCGGCCGAAATCTCGCTCGGACCATTTGATGAAGCGCGTGTCGAGAGCCTGTTTGCATTGCAGGCAGCGAAAGTCGAAATGCGATTTGTAAGTCCACCCATTGAGAAGTTGCTGTAATTCTTGCCGCTAGCTTTATTTAATCGGTATTCCCTTCTCATGAGCTAATTGATGGCCACAGAGATAGTAACGGCAATCCTGGAGTACCGCCATGCCAGCGGTGTCTCCGAGATGGTCGCGAATGTATTTTGGGGAGCTCAAACCGTGGAGGGCGCCGTATCCGCAAGAACAAAATGAAGAACTTCACCCCAGATACAACCCTTCCAGGCCAACGGGAATCTGTTGTCGAATCGATCAGCCCAACCGCTTCAGACATTCGCCAATCCACAAATACCTCATACCCTGGTCCGGTTGTTTTTGCGCCTCCTAATCCCACAACGGCGACATCAGTATCGGTAGATGATGAAGATACGGCTTCAATTGGATCGGTCCCGAGGAATCCATCTGATGCTTGGCAGTGTCTCACAGGCATTGCCAAAAGAGGCGATGACGGTCCTACCCCTGAGACGAACACTGATTCTCTGCGCACAATCCACAGCGCCTTCTCTTTTGGTGCTCTGCAGAACGGCACTGTAACCGACTTTCAACCGAATAGTGGGATTAAGGCTTACAGACTAGTGCAATCACGCTCCTTAGACCCGGGCACCGTATGGCAGTTAGTTGTTCGATACGCCGAAAATTTTCACCCGTATCTCCCTTTGGTGCCGCGGAAATACTTTAACCGCAGCGCGCTAGATTCCTTCGCTACAAACGAGAAACATCTGCTCACTGCGGTACTTACAATCGCATCGAAGGATTTAGTCGAACGACCGGAGATCCATGAATACTGCTCAAAATATATGCACGAATTGATCTCGGGAATAGCTGCTGGTGCCGATTGTGATGTAGAGGCCGTGGAGGCCCTTCTCCTACTTGCCGAATGGGAACCACAGGGTCTTCGTCCGCGCATCGAGCGCGTTGGTCGTGGTGAGGAGGATCGAGCCGCATGGATGCATGTTGGTCTAGCCTTGCGGTCAGGTTATTTCCTAGGCTTGGACCGGACCTCCTTCCGAGGTGATCCCTCAGGGGATACAGAGACGGAAGCCCGTAGAAGGCTAGCATGGACCAGCTGCTACATTTCAGACCGGTTAATATCTGTCCGTATCGGACGGGCATTTTGGTCTCGTGGACCTGGCCCAATGACAGGCCTCGTCAGTCAGGATTTCCCTTCTTTACAACCTATCAAAGATGGAGATGAGGATTACGCGAGAATCTTCCAGGCGACCTTAGACTTGACACAACTTTACGGCAATGTACATGACGTTCTTTACTCTGGTATGCGGACAAGCAACCAAATGATGCTTATGGGGGACTATGTCAAATATGTGGATGATTTTCGTCTCGCGATTTTGCGGTGGAAGTCGCTCTGGGGCTCATTACCCTGTAAGTTGAGGGATTTCCCTGGCCCGATGTGAACTAACCATCACTGACAAGTTGCAGGTTCTACGCCCATTCAAGCTACTTTACAACTTTCATATGAATATTTAAGGCTGTACACTAATGCGTTTGCATTCCAGGCTGCAATATCCCAATCAATGGTGTCGAAGTTAAAGAACGACCAGTCACAAAGAGAACATCTGAGATCAACATTCAACGATGTGGCATCGATGCAAGATGCCAGGTTTATCTATGAATCTGTGGATGCCGCTAAGGCTTACTTGACAATTCTTGTTGACCTGGTGCATCCAGAGAAGCATCTTCACTTTATGCCTCTCAGGTTTTATCTGTACGGAATTTATGCAGCTGTTTTTCTTTATAAGGTACAGTTGTTTTGCTTCCGCTTGAAAAACTTGTCTCAGGGCTAATTCGAGTTCAAGGCTCGATCTTTTGGAGTAATGCCAAATGGCGAGGAAACAAAAGTGCGCGATCTTGTCACACGAACAACCGACGTACTGAAACGAGCAAGTGCTGGACCGGATGATATCGGCTCACGTTATTCCCGGCTTCTGGAACTCCTGTGGAGGCCTAAGGCTGCGACAATTGCCTCTCCGGCTGGAACACATCAGAGCAGTGATTTCCAGGTGCAGAGTAGCACTATACCCCATCGCTTGCCTGAGCAAAGTAATTATATGCAATTCAGCCCTGCGAACGATTTCTCGTGGTTGGATCTTGAAGCTGTTGGGGACTACGTCTCGGGAGACCAATTACCCGGAGCGAACACATTGGCGTTTGATTCGTTCCAGAACCCCGACCCGTATCAGACAGGCCAGGACCGTTCCCAAGCATGGCAGCCGAATTGGCCTGGAGATATGACCAATCTCCTGTTCTAGTTGTCTAAGTCATGGTTATTCGGGACTGGAACAGAAAGTTATCTTTCTATTATTGAGAACGAGCGAGCCATCCAAGTAGAGGTTTGAAATGGAACCAAAAGGGAACGTACTGTCATTGTTCCGGTGTTGTTTGTCCCCCACGTTACTGGTGCGGGGCTGATGAGGATGTGGGGTTCTGACCAGAAGCCGATCGCGATGTGTCCGTCCCTCACTCGGACTATTCTCCGACCCGCTGGAATATTATGCGCCGGACGAAGGAGCTCCGCATAATCTCTTCCTATCGTACTTGTACCGGAAACAAGGCAACATATACTTGGACATCATTAACACAATGGAGCAACAAAATGACATTAGTGGCCGATTGGCCCTGATTACTGGAGCCTCTGGAGGGTAAGTACTCTGAACTTAGCAACTTACTAAGAACCATAACCGGTCTAACTCAGTATCGCTCAGGATTGGGGCAGCTTGTGCTCGTCAGCTGGCTGCGAAAGGCGTCCATCTTGCCTTGACGTATTCCACGAATGTGTCTTCGACATCTTCTCTGGCCGAGGAGCTCAAATCCAAACACTCAGACAGTTACAGTCTCAGGATTTCAATTCATAAGGTGGACGTGTCTTCGGCGGACGAAATTCAGCATATGTTTGAGGAGATCGACCAGCAACATGGCAAGCGGCCGGACATCTTGGTCTCCAATGCTGGATATGGCAAGCGAATCCCACAGGTTTGGGACATTTCCCTCGAGGAATTCGATTACACCATCAATGTGAACCTACGTGCTTCGTTTATTCTGGCGAAGGGCGTGGTGGAGCACATGAAGAGTCAGCGATGGGGTCGGATAGTGTTCATGTCCTCGATTGCCGGCCAGGGAGGTGGAATCAATGGATGTCGTATGCTATCACTCTTAGTCAAAACGATGTTGCCCACGTTCACTAACTTGCGCACAGACTACGCCGCTTCGAAAGGGGGACTAACCGGAATGATGAAGAATCTTTCCACGAGGCTAGCTGAATATAACATCAGCGTCAACGATGTTGCGCCTGCCATGATTGGTGAAACCGGTATGATCCCCAGCGCTTCGGCCATCCCTGAGGTTGCCGCTGGGATTCCTTTGGGCCGACTGGGCCTTCCGGATGAAGTCGCCAACGTGGTGACTATGCTTGTGACGACCGGTTATATGACTGGTCAAAGTCTGTTGCTTGGGGGAGGGCTGAAATAGTATATATATTGTTCTACCATACACCATGTTACGACATGACTATGATTATCCATAATTTGATTGAAAGCTATATTTTGCAGAATTCATACCCTCTACGTGTCAAGTCGTGTACCTCTATTGTATGTTAACCAATGAATTTTTTTGCCTAACATCACCAGGATGCCGATACATACACGCTCCTCCACACCGTCACTCTAGTTCTGTCATGATGGACTTCATCTACTGTACACCGTTTCTTCATGGTATCTCATAAGTTTTCTATCCCCACAAATACCACACCAACCTTCAAGTCAAACCCGGGTATTATTCAAAATATACTGCAAGGAAAAAAAGGGACCAAAAGATCCTAACTCTCAATGACAACCTTCACGACAGGTCGTCCAGATTCATCGACACCCTTTCCGGCCAATGCAAACGCCCTCTCTCCCTGTTCTAACGGCAACCGATGGGTAACAACGAGCTCCTCAACACGGTTGAACTTGCCACTTGCCACCAATGCGATGGCAGCGGGGTACGCGTGCCCATCATACCGGAAAACACCGATAATATCGACCTCCCGAAGAGCTGCCGCACCCACAGGAAGAGTCTGAATGGGATTTCCCATACCGATCTGCACCAGAACCGAACCTGGAGCAGCGGCGTAGATACCTGCCTGCACACAGGCCGGTACACCAGTGCATTCATATATACGAGAGAAACCGGAGGTCAGGCCGATAGTATCCTTCAATTTAGCAGCAACACTCTGGGCATTTTGTAAAGCATAGGCTGTTTGCTCAGCGTGAGGGGCATCCTTAGCCGGAGGCGGGTTTGCAGGGTCCGCCTTGGGAATGAGGGCAGTCTTAAGACCGAGGTTAAGCGACTCGGCGATGGCCAAGCGTGCCGGGTCGATATCAGCCACGACAATGTTCGAGAAGTTCTCAGCTGTTGCAAGCGCACCAGCCAGAAGTAGACCGATGGCGCCAGCGCCAAAGATCAAAGCAGCAGACTGGTCGCCCAGTGACTCGGCCAGTTGCACCTCCTCCTTGGATGGGGGGTGCGAACGGCGGACGGCATGTAGGCAGACAGCCAGGGGCTCGACAAGAGCGCCTCCGGCGAAGGACACTGAGTCGGGGAGCTTGTGGCACATTTCAGCTGGGTGGTTGGTGAGTTCCATGAGGGTGCCGTCGAGATGGGGGAAGATTTTAGCACTGCTCCGGAACTTCATTTCGGGGCAGATGTTGTAGCGGCCTTGTTTGCAGAGAACACACTTGCGACAGGGCAGGCCGACTTCAAGCGCGACCCGGTCGCCAACTTGTAAAGTGGTGGCTTCCGGTCCGACGGCGGTTACGACGCCGGAGGACTCATGGCCCAGGCAGAAGGGTTCGCGAACGACGAAGTCGCCATTGCGGCCGTGGTTGTAGTAATGAAGGTCTGATCCGCAGAGACCAGTAGCGCGGATGGCGACTTGAACTTCGGAGCCGGTGGGGGCAGCAACGGGCTTCGTTCCCTAGTGAGAATGTTAGACATAGTTTTACTTAGCTGAAGTTTTGAGGGTTATCATACCATGCGGAGATCCTTTGCGCCGTGTAGGACAAGTGCCTGGCAGGCACCGGTATCAGTGACGGTAGCCATTTTTGTGTTTTCGGTGTATTGGAATTAGAAATGGAGTTGAGCGAATGCCCGCCATTATGACAATGCTATTATATGCACTGCATGACTTTCTTGTCGGCCATTGACTCCGCCCCAACGTGGGGTTGAACGGATTTCCTCCGCGTCGGTTATTGAACCGGGTTGTCAATAACCGACGGGCAATCATGGGATACGTTATGATCTTGACGTGTAATACAGGCTGTATATTTTGAGGATTTCCGACGAGTTTCACGTAGCACTTGAGATTCAGCCAAAACCAGATGTAGATACTTTCTCATGAACCCCAAGTAGCACTCAAAGTCATTCATAGAGTTACTCTGCCATGCATATAGTGGGAAACCCTACTATGAACGTGCACCTACATGTACCCCAATACATCCCATGCATACCGATATGATAACGGTAATACATACAGAAAATGGGCCACCCCACGCCAACCGGAATTGGGGGGCAACAATCAATCAATCAATCCCTCAGTGAAACATAATTATTGACTGGAATATTCTTAAAAGATCAGTAATTGGAATTTCTCCTCCTCCTGTCTACTTTTCTTCTTCTTCCACATTTTTCCCTTCTTCCTCTCCGTATACCCCTTCTACTTCTACAGTCCAAGAAACCAAAACCCCACGTTTGCTCCAACTCTGACATCATGCCTACCGCACTGCTGATCGGCGAAATCACTCATGCCCGCAAGGAGTGGGAAGAGCTGTCGTCCATTCTGACGCTCAAGGTATGATTTATCCAGTGGGAAGTATGATTTGAATTCAGCTGATTTAGATGGATTATTATGTAGGAATTCCCCAGCGGTACTAGAGAGGACTTTATCCGCAACTGCAAGGAGGGTCAATATAATGATGTTCTGGTTATTTATCGCTCGAATACTTCTACGAAGGTATAGTGATGGTTTAATTTCAGAGCGCAAGTGCATGCTAAGTCGCGCGTAGTTTACGGGTCCCTTCAATGCAGAGTTACTTGCTGTTCTCCCCAAGTCGTTGAAGTATATTTGTCATAATGGTGCCGGGTACGACAACATTGATATCAAGGGGTGCACAGACAAGGGTATGTATAACCTTACCTTCTACGGATAAGTGAAGGATTGACGAGTTAATAATCGATGCAGGAATCGCCGTTTCCAGCACGCCTGTCGCTGTTAACCATGCTACAGCTGATGTGGGCATCTTTTTGATGATCGGTGCCTTGCGACAGGCCTACGTGCCGTTGTCTGCTCTCCGGGCGGGTGAGTTCCTACTCCAGGTAAAAGGAATTGGGAAACTGTGAAGTAGCTGACAGTCGGATCACAGGTCAATGGCAGGGCCAAACTACATTGGGTCGTGATCCCCAGGGTAAGGTGCTAGGCATCCTCGGGATGGGGGGAATTGGCAGGGTAAGAACCAAAGCTTTCCTTACGCCAGATGATGAACTGACTTGTCTCAGGAAATGGCCAACCGCGCAAAGGCCTTCGGAATGAGAATCCAGTACCACAACCGGTCCCGACTGTCGCCTGAGCTCGAGGGAGACGCTACATACGTGTCGTTTGATGAATTGCTGGCTAGCTCAGATGTCCTTAGTCTGAACCTCGCTCTTAATGCCTCTACCCGTCATATCATTGGCGAGAAGGAATTCCAGAAGATGAAGGACGGTATTGTCATTGTTAATACCGCTCGTGGTGCGCTGATTGATGAAAAGGCGCTGGTCGCTGCTTTGGATTCCGGAAAGGTGAGTTGAGCGTTTGCTATTTCCATGTGTTAATGATATCTAATGTTGGGTAGGTCCTGTCCGCCGGTTTGGACGTCTATGAGAATGAGCCGGTTGTAGAGCAGGGTTTGGTGAATAACCCCAAGGTGATGTTGTTGCCACACATTGGAACCATGACATATGAGACACAGAAGGATATGGAGTTGTTGGTGTTGAACAACTTGCGCTCGGCGGTAGAGAAGGGAAAGATGATCACGTTAGTCCCTGAGCAGAAGAATATGTTCTAGATGTAGGTTGGAGATTAGATTAGATATAATTGATAGAATAAATTGTTAAAGAGTCATGCCACGATCAATTCAAGCTGTCAAAATCTAGCACAGTCTCCCTGAGCTAGAAATGAGTGCTCGGTAGCTTCATTAAAGATGATGTGTCTTAAGTCAATCAGTCTGCGGAAGGCCGAGACTTGGTCTGCAGCCCTGTCCGTCGTGAATGGTACTGCCGGGCGGTGTGGCCTTTTCTTACCAACGGCCCTAGTCCGCTTTGAGCTCGCTAAAGGGTTAACCCTAGGAAATGCCAAGAGCGAAAAAGCGCACCACAACGAGACTTGCGATCTCGAAGTTCCAGCGGCCGACCGAAAGAAAAGCGACAAAACTTCTCACCCGACATCGAGGACCACCCCGCTCGGCAACCACATCAAGATGGTGAGTGCTTTATTTGAAGTTTTTGAATTCGATTGATCGGGAGGGAAAGAAGAGAACGGAGAAAAATCACCAGTGGAAGAGACATCTTTGCACCGAACATGTTCGATCCTGTCAATCCCAAGATTAGGCTCTGTGGCCTATCCCGATATTTCGACTCTGCCATCACCACACCCACTCCAGCCACCATCAATTGCGTTTCGAGATAGAGGAATATGGCTTTGCTGATGCAGGATTTTTTTCGTCTTTCAGGTCCGTTACGCTGCTCAGGAGATTCCGGCCGCTAAGAGCGCCCGCGCCCGGGGCTCTTACCTGCGCGTCAGCTTCAAGAACACCCGTGAGACCGCTCAGGCCATCAACGGCATGAAGCTCCAGCGTGCTCTTACTTTCCTTGACAACGTCACCAACAAGCTCGAGGCTGTCCCCATGCGGAGGTTCGCTGGCAGCACCGGCCGTTGCGCTCAGGGTGAGTGGCTCTTATTTTCTTTACATGAGGTGGATTATGGTCCGGGATGGTTTATGGAATGATTGGATATGTGCAAGAAGATATGGAGCAAAAGAGGAGGAATCTTGACTGTTGGAGTGGCTCGGGTGGCGTGTGTTGGGAAACGGGCCGTGACGTTTGGCGAGAGACATACACAGGACTTGCGCTAACAGAGTTCTACAGGCAAGCAGTTCGGTGTCAGCAAGGCTCGCTGGCCCGAGAAGTCCGCCAAGTTCCTCATCGACCTCCTGAAGAACGCTGAGGCCAACGCCGACACCAAGGGTCTTGACACTGGCAACCTTGTTGTCAAGCACATCCAGGTCAACCAGGCCCCCAAGGGCCGCAGACGCACCTACCGTGCTCACGGTCGTGTATGTTTCCCACCATATTCTCGGTTGATATCTTTTGCTGACTCGAGGCCTAGATCAACCCCTACATGACCAACCCTTGCCACATCGAGCTTATCCTTACTGAGGGTGAGGAGGTTGTCCAGAAGGGTCCCGTTGCCAAGGAGGCTCACCTCTCCTCTCGTCAGCGTGGCCTCCAGGTCCGCCGTGCCATCCAGGCATAAGCGGTTCATGGGTGTCGGGGGTGAGGTAGTCGGAAAATGAATGGGAAAGCCGGAGTTTTCTGTTGTACGGAACAAATACCTTTTTACGGAAGGAATACAAAAGAAATTTCTACAAACTGAACAACCCTTCGAAATCTATGGGTGGAAGCATCAGTTCTTCCCTCTTGTCATGAATATCTCCTTAAGCGTTGATCATATCCCGAATATCTCACGATCACTATGTGATTTCTCGGGGGGAAGGGATCATTTGTTTCAATAGTCCCCTGGCTTTGCAGACAACCCATGGTGCCATGCAATAATTGGATGCTTGGCTAGGTACAGGCTGGATCGGACATTTTATTCTCATACTTCAGGATACTGTTGAGCTTTGTTTCACGAATGGGATACGGAAATCTATATTAATGAGGTTCGGGAGAAATGCCGATGATCTTGCTTGTACTAGAAAAGTCATACATGCGTCCATGTTTAACCGTCGGGTGCTGAATACGTAAGTTAGACCGTAATGAGGACTTCCGTAGTCTAGTTGATTTATGGACGAGCGTCTGCAATATACGAGACATGATACTACGTAGTCGTCAGAAGGTGTAGCCAAGAAGCCTCTTTTCCCTTCGTGCAATGATATTCTCCACTCAGGAATTTCCAATTGGTGGTGGTGATTAGTTTGCGGTACTCCGTACAAAAAGTATATATATTTTGAGTGATGCCTGATTGAAGCCAAGAGTGGCGATGCAATGCCTTGTCAGCCACAGGACCTCAAGATAATGATTATTCGGTACGGCTCCGAGATCGTCGGCATCGATGAATGGATTCCATCTATCATGGGTGCAGTGATGAGGAGGGTGACTGGTGTAAGATCTTTAAAGTCGATATGCATACGTAGGAGCCCGTTGGCGGAATGACGCAGCTGCGGGATCGTCCTCCAGTCCCAGGCATCAACAAATGGAGAACCTCCGCACAACCTCAACCGAGTAACCTATGCCATGACCGTTACCTATGGATCGTCCCAAGTGGACAGACCAGTGCTTGCGTGTCACCAAACACAACAGATTGCCACATTTTTGTCTAGGTGACAACCAGAGTGATGACCGGGGTTTCTGCCTTCAGTTTGGTCTAAGAACCAACACTAAGCCTACACTAGACTAGTAGACCTCCTGTTTTATCTATCGACGCTACCCCATCAGACAGACCCTCGTGCTTAACTTTCTGTTTTTCTTACTTTCCTTGCCGTGTCAGTGTTTGGGGGCTTTGCTTCTGTTTTGTTCCTCTTCTATTGTATCGTCATCTCCACGGCCTCGGGTGGTTTGGTTTACAATCATGAAGCGCATCCTGACCTCCTTTAGCAAGCGGTCCGGTATGTATCGCGACTCATCCCGCAACGTCCAATCGGTTACTCATTAGAATAGGTTCAGCACCGGAAGGTCCATCATCATACGCTGAGGATTCTCCCGAGGGTATTATCCTGAGAGAAGTGGTCCGTTTTCGAATCCCATGCCCCTTGTCGCGTTGCCACTGGGAAAGTTAGAAAGTTAGACTAATTTGTGTTGATGTTCTAGACTGCCTTTTGCGAGGCAGTTCCGAGCAATACCGTACGTTCCTTCCCCCTCCGTGCATCGACTTCGCTTCCAATCCGACCATATTGACTCGAACAATAACTGATGAGAAAATATTCGTACAGCAAGGAAACGAGTTCGTCCATCTGCCCGCTATTGTCGAAAGTGCGGAGTCTAGCCCCAATGCCGCCAGGGAAGCTGCGCATCGCATTCGCAAGTTGTTGTCTGACCCAGCGTCAACGCCGGCCAACGTACAGTATAATGCGATCATGCTGATCCGCATACTCGTCGATAACCCTGGCCATACTTTCACACGGAACATTGATGCCAAATTCGTTGCTACTGTGAAAGACCTCCTGCGCCAGACGAGGGATTCGAATGTGCAAGGCTTCCTTCGGCAGACTCTGGATGCTTTAGAGATGCAGCGTGGATGGGACGAGGATCTTGCGCCACTTCTGCAGATGTGGACAAGGGAGAAGACCAAGCTCAAGAGGACTAATAGTGGAGTATGTACACATGCGATGCCTGGTGTGTACCTTGATGCGACAGCGCTAACAGTGTCTTCGTTAGAGTACTTGGAGGTCCCAGGTTTCATCCCAGACCTCACCGCAACCACAACAACCTCGTCCGGATTATTTTGGCCCGCGCCAGGCCGGAGCCTTGCCACCCCCGGATGAACTCGCGGCTCGTATCACTGAAGCCAAGACATCGGCAAAACTGCTCGTGCAGTTCGTTCAGTCGACGCCCCCCGCAGAGATGGCGGAGAACGAGCTCATTAAAGAGTTCTCTGGCCGATGTCGGTCGGCATCACAAACTATCCAACACTACATTCACTCGACGAACCCTTCACCGGACGAGGATACTCTCCTCACCTTGATTGAAGCAAATGATGAGCTTTCCACATCGCTATCTAGGCACCAACGTGCTCTTCTTAACGCGCGTCGAGCTTTAGGACAATCGGATAGCCAGTCACCCTCGTCGTCCGATACCACGCCATCGAGGGCTTCTAGTGCTATCCCCCCACCGGTGCCTCCGCGGGATACGCACAACCCCTCTATACCACCAGCAACGCCCCTGGCGACATCAAGCCCCAGCAGCATTTCGCCCCCGACTAACAATGGTATGAGCCGGTCGGAGTACCGATCGGAGGATTTTCAGGTGCAGAACCCGTTCGCCGATAACTTCAGCACTACTGCTACCGGCCCATCAGACGGACGGATGGAAGGGACAGCGAACGACTCGTGGTATGATCCGTATCAGCGACCTATACAGCGCGCGTGACGCTTAGTGGAGTGTTGAGCATTTCTCCTTTTATATTATGTTTCTTGTTTGCCAGCCCCCTTTATGCGTCTGTACCGCACGATTAAACGCCTTTCCTAATGCTTTAATGTAGTTATATCTGTTTTTTGGTCGATGTGATACCTTTTTCGCGGAGCAATATTACTTGTATACGTTGTTGGCTTGGCTGCGTCTCTGAGAAGATAACTGACGCCTGGTCTGCGCCACATAGAATGCACCAGCTTAGACGAGACAATGTACCTATTCCCTGTGGCAAAAAAAAAATTTCGTCCAGGCTTTGTTCAAAATTCATAATAAAGCACAAAGTTATCAGGCTTGTTGCCAGCGATTGGCAGAGAGGTAAGCGCGGAAAAAAAGGCATATATGGTAGCTACATAGTATTGGCATGCTAACGCTCACGAACAGAGCACCCGCACCCTGTTCATTACCAACAAAGGTGCTTGTCTGCCGAGGACTCTCCGATGCTTGTTTTGACTATACTAGTTCATCGAGCCATATATCGCACAGATCACTTAATGAACACCCGGCTCTTACCCAAAACGCAAGCGGCAACTCATTCCGACTAAAATAGTGGGCTCATTTGCCCCTACTCATAGTCTCCTACTTAAGTACATACGAGGCTTCTGCCTTATTTCAGATACGACTCCGAAGACCCTTGGCCGTCTTTATGATTATGGAGACTCAAGGACTGACTCAGGAAGTGGGGCGCAGGAGGCGAATCTATATGAGGATGCTAATGCTGGACTATTGCGATAAGTCTTTCCTCCCAGGATCCGGGTCTGATCAATCAGAAGCTATCCCAAGAGCACCATGGGATCCTAATCGTCGGAGAAAAGTCGTGGCTACATGTGATGGAGCCGCCGGGTTAATGAAGCTGAAACCCTAACCAAGGCGCCAAGCATCAGGAGCTGGTCTAAGCATATCCACCGGCCACCATTATGTTTTAGATCAATTAAGGTGAAACTACTGGCCGCTTTGTATCTTGTCACTTTTAATGAGCCCACTGAAATCTAGTTCCACTAACTATTGATTTCTTACCAAGCCCTGGCGACAATGGCCTGGTTCAACGCCCTTCTCCGGTGGAGAGTCTCGGGGTAATTGATTCTAAGGGCTTCGGGAGATAACCGTCTCCTTGAGAAGTGTCTAGAGTTGTTTCACGGTGGACTCCCGATGGAGCTTTCATGCCGGCCATGATAGATGAGCCGACCGTATATATAGATGGGTGAGAACACTCGTCTCGTCCTTTCTCTCGTTCTCCAAACACGCAGGTTTCTTCTGTTCTTCTTTCTTTACACACTCTCTTATACTACCCGGTCCGTGACCGTCTCATTCTTTCTCTTTCTACATTCATTTGATTAGGTATACTGGTATACCGATCCATTCTCTGATAAACTTCTTTCTTCGATCTTATTCAAAACTCAATCAATTACACCCCCGTTCAAAATGAAGCAGACTGGTACCATCCTTGCCCTTGCCGGCCTCGTCTCCATGGCTCACGGCCACGGTTTCGTTACCTCCCCCAAGCCCCGTATGCCTGGTACTGCTTTCCAGGAGGCCTGTGGTCAGCAGATGTACAACAACCAGCAGGCCGACAACTACGGCAACGTCCAGGGTGAACTGCAGGTTGCCAATGGCCAGAACGACTTCGATGCCGCCAAGTGTGACGCCTGGCTTTGCAAGGGTTACAAGTTTGACGACAACAAGGACAACGTCTTCCAGTACACCCCTGGCCAGAACGTCGACTTCACGGTCGACATCCGTGCTCCTCACACCGGTGTTGCCAACGTCTCCGTCGTCGATACCGCTTCCAACACCGTCATCGGCGAGGCCCTCAAGTCCTGGGACGTCTACGCTTCGACCGAGACCGGTGTTAAGGAGACCGACAAGAAGTTCAGCGTCACTCTCCCCAGCGACCTCGGTGGTAAGTGCTCTGAGGCTGGTGCTTGTGTTCTCCAGTGGTACTGGTTTGCCGAGTCCATCGACCAGACCTACGAGTCCTGCGTTGACTTCACCATGAGCGGCTCTGGCTCTGGCTCTTCCTCTGGCTCTTCCTCCAGCGCCTCCTCCGCTGCCTCTACCGCTGCTGCTACTGCCTCCTCCACTGCCACTGGTGTCGCTGTCACTGCTACCCCTACCACCGGCAACAACGTCGCTGCCCCCAGCGGCTTCGCCACCAGCGCTAAGCCTTCCGCCACCTCTGCCCCCAGCTCTGCTGCTTCAACCGTCACCATCCCCACCGACGGCACCGCGGAGGAGAAGCTCAACTGGATCGCCAGCCTTCTGCAAACCCTCGTCAAGTACACTGCTTAAAAAAGTGATGTGATTTTACCAATCTGTTGGGTGTGAATAGATTTATACATACTTCCTAGCACGTGAATAGAATTTGCCTGCATTATACATTTGAAAAACTGGAACCTAGTCTTAGGGGCACAAACCTTGGCTTTGGAATTGTGTATACATCCTACTCCGGATTCGCTTTAGATCCATGGCAGTTGCGCCTCATACTGCCTAAGTGGGTATATTTTGGTGTGAACATGCTCTGTGTTTTATTGAAAAATTTTTTTATTCTTTCTCTTGTACTTTTCGCCAATAGCTTTACAATGTAATTAGAACGGAGGTTTCGTGGCCTTCACTCCACAGGGTACCATATTGAGCGAAACCAGTTAAAACCAATGGATTTGATCTTTAACAAAAGTCTTAGGTTATTTCGCACCGTGTAGCGACGACTTGGGACTCGGTGAAATTAGCATGGATGGACGACCACACAGCGGTTCAGGGATTCCCATGAAACCAACAATGAAACGGAAATCTCCTATAGTCCCACCAGGATCTCAGCGAGTGTAGTTTGTAGATGTCTCACCGATCCACCATCGCGAGTATCTTTGTTATTGGGCCAAGGTCCCGACTTCAGCTACCCCTGCAATTTCGAACCAGCACCAGTAGGAATCAAACGGATTTGTCGACCCGGATCGACGAAATTTGATTAAATTGCTCCTCGTCGAAGCTTGTTTCTCGAGCATTGGCTTACATTAGAGGTTTCTATGCCGGTTGACTCTTGATATTTCGAGACGGTTTCTTTTTATTTTTTAATTTTTATTTATTTATTTTATTTTTTTTTTTCGGTAGCTTCCGACCAGGACTTGTTCCAAGGTTGATCACAATCTGAAATTTTGCGGGTAAAAACTATATATCTTTCTAAAATCTTGTATGTATCAAGTGTACTGACGTCCTTTGGGGAATGTCTTCTTTAAGGTGTCTTGGGTTACATTCGATGATACAAATAGAGATTAAATTAAATTTTTACTTAAGAATTTAAATCTTAAATGAACCATTGGTTTGTTATCAGAGATAAGCAAGCAACAAGTCCGGCCGGCCGCTCAGCCACAATATAATCAATCACATTTTCTTGTTCTGTAACCAAACTCCCTCCCCCCCGGCATTACTTTCGTTCTTTTCTCCTCATCTGCAGACCATCAATCGTCCAGTATAATGGAAGAATCTCACCTCCGTCAGAGCATGTCTCATCATCCGTCCCCGTTTAACTCTCACCAGGCTCCTCACTCGCATATCCCATCCACTCTCTCCTACAATGAAGCAACCACCACCGCTCTAGAACCGCAAACGTCCCAACACCGCACCGGCAACGCCAGTGATGAAGAGGGCCAACCACCACCACGATATACACGCGAGAATGATCCCTTCCAGCTCGCATCGAAGATCAAGACCGATGAAGAAATCCGACAAATTCACCCGCAAGCCAACACGGCCCGTAAACGCGACAGCTGCATCCGCGCATCCAAGAACCCAAAGAAGGCCTTGAACACCGCCATCTCGTCCAGACAGCTACAAGGCTTCTACCACTCGCAGAACGAGAACATCGAGCGCATGCTGAAACCCGTCGAAGAGCACGTCCGCGACGCCCGTGAAATCAGCGCCAACAACCAACTCAAATACAAAATCGCCGTATACGGCAGCTTCGCCGCGAACATCATCCTCTCCATCCTACAACTCTACGGTGCCATCGCGTCAGGCTCTCTCTCTCTCTTCACAACAATGGCCGATGCCGTCTTCGACCCCATGTCCAACCTCACCCTGCTCCTCTGCAACAAGGCCGTCAACCGTGTCGACCCCCGCAAGTTCCCCGCCGGCAAAGCCCGCATCGAAACAGCCGGCAACATCTGCTTCTGCTTCCTCATGACGGCCGTCTCGTTTATCATTATCGCCTTCTCCATCCGTGAATTGGTCGAGGGCTCCGAGTCTGAAACTGGTGATTTCCATCTGCCCTCCGTCATCGCTGTTATCGTCGCCTTCTGCACCAAGTTCGCCCTCTTTGTCTACTGCTTCGCGTTGCGCCACCAGGTCTCCCAGATCCGCATCCTCTGGGAAGATCACCGAAATGATCTCTTCATTAACGGATTCGGTATCCTGACCTCGGTCGGTGGAAGTAAGCTGCGCTGGTGGATTGATCCCATGGGTGCTATTATTCTTTCCGTCCTAGTCAGCTGTCTTTGGCTTTATACTGCCTATCACGAGTTCCAACTTCTGATCGGCGTCACTGCTGATACTAAAATGCAGCAATTGATTACTTATATCTGTATGACTTATCCCCTTTTCAATCTTGTCCTGTCAGAGTCGAATGCCTAAGTACTAATATGCATCTTTTGAACAGCAATGACGCACTCACCTTTCATCACTGCCATTGATACCGTCCGCGCCTACACCTCTGGACCCCGGTTGCTCGTCGAAGTCGACATTGTCATGGACCCCAATGATTCTCTCCGCGCGACTCATGACGTTGCCGAGGAACTGCAGATGAAGCTGGAGTCCCTGCCTGATGTGGAGAGGGCGTATGTGCATGTCGATTATGAGACGACGCATAAGCCGGAGCATTTCCTAAAGAAGGAATTGTAGGTTCGTTGTCTTGTTGTTTGTAAGGGAGGATATTGTCGTTCAGTTTATGTGCTATGTATAGCGGTTTTGTGTATTACATGCATGTCTGCATGAAATTTATCGGTGGATACAGTCATTTATAATACGGGCAGAGTTCCTTACTTGATTATGAAGTAATTAATGTGATATCCTCTCAGGACATATTTCGGGTTAACATAGAACCAAAACTCTAATTAACGATTGAACAAAGAAGTGGTATCCACAAAAAGAACAAAAAGCAGTGCCTCCCGTGCTTACCGATCCTTCTATCGCAGTCGTGACTCGTACAACAACAAGGTGTCCATACAAACAGGTAGACCGAGTCCATTACAATGGATCACAAATCATCTGATTCCAATATTTACTCCAAAATCACTCGATAGAAGCGAAGGTCGAGTCATTATCTAAGAGACACATAGGTAATGAAGATTTAACACCATACAGAGAGAGAAATCATGACTGTTCAAACAGCGCAATGGTCGAGCAGAAGTTACTCTCGTTCTCATCCTGGGGCACAAGACCGGCGCCGCTGTTCGACGTGATCATGTTCGTGCTAGCCTTCGTGCTCAATCCGTAGATGTGGACGTCAGAGCAGTCGACCTCGACCATGTTCTCCTGGCAGGACTCCGTGGCCAGGCAGGTCTGACCATAGTTCTCGAAGAAGCTGTACAGTCCTGCGCCATACACGTACATGTCGGAGGTGTTCTGGACGCGCAGACCCCATGCCTTGCGGCAGCCCTCGGTCTTACAGTAGGAGAAGTCGGGGTCATTCCAGTTCGTCTGTGGGGTGAAGGGGGTCAGGGCGTTGGGGTTAGCCTGGTAGTAGGGGGTTTCTGTCTGGATGAGGCCCATGAAGACGTTCTTCGCGTTGGTGACCTGGTAGTTGTAGAGCTGGTTGTGTTCGGAGGCGGTACCGTAAAGCCAGACCGGGCCTTGGGACTCGATGTAGACGCCACGGCCGTTGTAGATGTTGATCTGGTTGTGGTCAGGGAGGTCGAGCTCGTGGTCGGCGACCCAGAACCAGGAGTTTTCAATGTAAGCGCTCGCCTTCTCCGTGATGTGCATGAGCATGAACGCGGCAATGCACTCTTCGTTGGGCGTGGTGGTTTGCTTCGGCGTCTTGGCGCACTTGTCACTTTGCAGCTCGGTGCCTGCTGATCCACCGATGCGGAAGTGGGTGTCCCACATACCGGCGGAGCCCTGGGAGGCCTCCGCGAGGTTCCACTGCGTTAGGATTGCGCCGGGGGCGGGGCCCTTAGTCTGCAGGGCGATGTCGCTGATTTCGACGGAGCCGGCGTCACCAACTTCTCCGACCTGAAGCATAGGGATAGGGTTCTTCTCGTCGGCGAACTTCTGGCCGTGGGCCATCAGGACGGGCCATACTTCACCCGTGATCTTGATGTTCCTGGGAACCTTGATGGTGTCGGTGATGATGTAGGCTCCGTGGTCGAAGTAGACTATCTGGTCATCCTTGGCGCTGTCCAGGATCTTCTGGATGGCAGCTGTGTCGTCAGTCGAGCCGTCTCCCTTGGCGCCCGCGGACTTGACACTGACGAACGAAGAAACATCATAGCTGGTGTACAGGGGTTTGGACCGCTCGTAAACCTTCCCACCTGTGAGCAGGGAGCTGGGCTTAGCATGAGTTGGGAGAGCAGTTTGGAGACGAGTCTTGGTAACTGTTTTGACGGAGCAGTGGTTTGTTGCGTGGGCAGCTGATGATGAAGCTGCACCCGTAACCACCGACGAAGATGTCTGGACAGTGGGGGACGGCTGGGATGGAATGAGGGCTCCGGTCACGCTGGACTCAACTGGAATCTGTGGCTCTGACTGTGCAGGGGCGGAGGGCTGGGGAGTCGGCTGAACTGCAGTAGATGGTTCAGCCTCCGCGGGGGCTGAGGGAGTGGCAGTGGGCTCCGGGACCTCGGTGCTCGGCGCCTCAGCGGGCTGGGTGGCAGATGGCTTAGAGCTGGGCAACAAACCGCTCACGAGTGGAAGGTTGGACAACGGAAGAGTTGGCAGAAGCCCTGCAACGCGGCTTTCTCCAGATAATGAAGGAAGGACCGTTGCAGCGGACGAAGAGTCTGTGTAATCCGCAGTGCAGACCTCCACTGTCTCTGTTACAGTCTCAGTAATCACTTTCACTGAAGCCTCACGCTTCTGCTTTACACCGCCAGGGATGTAACCATTGCCCTGAACCCAGTTCGAGACGACTGAGCCCCCGGCCAGGATAGTATTCCCGGTAATTCCCGCAACTGCAACCTTGGAACCGCTGAAATCCACATTATCGAGGATCAAGACACCTCCGCCAATGGGAATGCTCTTCTCGGTAAAAGCAGTAACAACACCGGTAGGTGTGCTCGTAAGTTGACTGTCAAGGATCAAGACAGAGCCGACCGTCTGGTTCTGCGGAGCGTTGGACATGTTCAGACCGACTTGGCAGTTGTTGATGGAAAGTGACTTGAAGGTCCAGGCCCAGTTCCAGTTCATGAAGACGGCTGTGTTGCAGTCATTGAAGGTCAAGTTTCGAGTAGTGAATTGCTGGTTTCCGACGAACATGCCGTAGTTACCACCGTTGAAAGTCAAGTCGGACATGAAACCTCCAGATCCATTATCCATGAAGATACCCTGTTGCTTGTTTGCGTCGCCGCCACCCTTAACCATTTCGAATCTGATATTCTGCAAACTGGTTGCCTGGCCCACCTGCCAGTGGATACCTGCACCAGAGCCCTGAGGCATAGCAGTCAAATCGACGACAATGTTACGAATGGCGCGGAAAAAATTGTTCTGGTTGGTGTACCAGTTGCTGCCGTCATCATTATACGGATCCGCATCAATCACTGCCATACCGGTAAAGTCCGCAGCTGCCTTAATTACAGGTAGGTTGACAGCGTCTCCAACGATTTGGGTGTAGTAATACTGAATGATTGGCTTGGAGACGACATAAGTACCGGGAGGGAAGTATACGAGGGCAGGAGTGACGGTCGATGAATCACACCCCTTGCCACATCGGTTCCCTGATGAAATCGCCTGGTTGATAGCAGCGGTATCATCCGTCGACCCATCACCTAGTTGCAGTTAGCATATGCCATTTTCATGCACCGTGAGGACCCATACCCTTAGCACCAAAGTCTTTCACATTACGATATACCTGATAATCTGTGCCATTTCCAAAAGCAACAGCACCCTGCCGCTTGATAGTTCCAACCCAGTATTCAGACGCTGCTCTGGCAGCCAGATTCGTCGTGATATCCGTATCTTGACCTAAAGGCACGGCATCGACTAGCCCAGCGGGCAATCCTAGAAGTAGCAGAATATGTGCGAGGAACAACATGATAGTTGTGTGTAGAGAAGCCATCTTCGAGACGACTCGGAGATCGCTGGACCAGCAGAGATCTTACTGAATGAGCGGAACAGGCGCTATATCAAGTCAAACTCCAGTATCCGGTACTGAAACTATACTGATCGGCTGATCACCAACCACAATTCGATACCAACGAGTGTGGACTTCCGTCACCCGACACTGTCAGAAGATGTAGATGGCCAGAAGGGTGAGAATCTCTTGGAAGGTATCAGGGAAGAAAAAGAATGCGTTTGTGTTCTCCCCGGTAGCAATGATCTCGTTTGCGGAAGTATATCAATAAATGGTTGACAAAAGAGTGAACAAACAAAAAGCACAATAAGGATAGACAAAACACCGGGTAAAGACGCTGCCGGACGTCAAAGGAGTGAGTGAATGAATGAATGGCCTTGACAGCGATGGACCAGGTCGAATACTTATTGTGCCTGGTCAGGCCTCGCAGTGAATGGATACGGTAAATACAGCAATAGACCACCACTGAATCAGGTATTGTTGTGAAATAACCTTTTCGGGTTTGATGATCGGTAATCTTCAGCCAATCGTCAGTCCACTCTGACTGCTGATCCACCCCCCGTGACCAATGACCACGACTGATCACCACGCACCAACCGAGGCTTGAAACACTTCGGTCAGGGGATGAAACGACTGATGGTGGACTACTTGCCGTTAGCCATGCATGATTCGACTACAAATTCCCTAAGGCACGCGGACAATAGATTAAAAGGAACGCATGGGAACCATACCAAGTGGGAACCAGCCAGAATTCTTGAACGATGGCGTGAAAACGCAAGATGCGACAAGGATCGCTTCCGAATGGAGAACTGGGTAAACAGAGAAGTGTACAGCGCTTTAAGGAATGACTCCCTCAATGGGTGCGCAGAATACAGATATACACACACACTGACCCAAAGACAAGCAAAAGGAGGGGCAGAAAGACAGAATGCAATAAGGAAAGAGAGAGCGCCTTGGACAACCATGCTGGAGATTGAACAGGCTATATATCACTACAATCGTGAGCCAAGGCCTTGATCAACATTTCGTTGTGGCCAGATTCCTGTCGAACGTGTCTCAACTATGTACGCGAGCTTTTTCTTTTCTTTTCTTTCGTCTGTGGCCAATACCTTGTTTTGCTTTTTTCTGGCCGTTTACTTCAGCCCTTCCAAGAGATTGACAAAAGCTCTCTGGGAATGATCAAAATACGCAGGTTTCCTATTCGCCATCTAAACAAGAGACCGCGTGGTAGTGTTTCTCTCTGGAATCCTCTATGGAGCTGTTTGGGAGGGATTCGCAACGACTGGTATGGATCAGACGCCATACAGCTCCACTAACTACTCGATTGGGTAGAGGAAATGTGCAGACTGCTGCGCTAGTAGTATGCAGGACATTAACCCTAAAGCCATTGCCATTAATGACTGTAGTTGGATCACGGTAACCAGCATGTATGCGCCTACATTCCTCAGACCATCAATGTCAACAAAGCGCCACACCAGGGTACACATAACTGGGCTTGTCACACCACGAGAGATTGTATGTACATCCATTTATCTTGAGATATAACTAGCGTCTACACGACGGAGATAGTGCCACTTGTTTCGATCGAGATTTTGGCCCCTGCCCTTTAATCCGCGCAAAATAGACACCAAGGTGCCGACAGGAGCAGTAACCTCGACGCGTATGGGAAGAATACACGACCCACTCGGTTATCCAGGGGGTGTTGTGAACTTGTGATACGGTACAGTCAGTAGCCCTACTATTTATATACTAGTTTGCAAGAGCCAAGCTTTAATGAGCTCCCGCGATGCCGCGACCAACGATTCCACCACAGGCACTATCTACCCGCGGAGCTTTTCACCAATGAGTTCCACGGGAAGCGATGCTGCCGCAAGATTGGATTTATTGAACTTTATTACTTAGTAAAATCAACACGTAATTTCCCGCCAAAGCTACCTAGACTGCCCCTGCCCAGTGTTTGGTCCAAGACATTAAGTATGGAAAGGGCCCAAAACGCAAGATGAGACTTCCAAGAAAATTGTTGGCGTCAAGAATGCGCAGTAAAAACCCTGAATGCGGGACGAAGAATGCGTATCGGTCCCCTTGACGAACATACTCTCACTTAGACTGTCCACAGTTTGACTCAGTAATCCGGTTTACGGCGTCTTTACTCCGATTCTACTTGCCTCGACAGACGTATACCTATAATATACAGCTCATATCGTAAAAACAGCTGCACCAGCACCTGCACCAGTCACCAGTCACCAGTCACCCGCGCCTCTGCATCGGCCGACTCGCTTAGTTTGCTGCACCCCGCAGTGTCACCCTGGAGCCATGATTGCATCACAATCCAAGAGTCATTTGACGCCTGGCGCCTGGCGATACCCCAAGTAATCTACCTTTCCTTGCTAATTGGCACAACCCCCTTCTTGGCACCAATGACCGCTACGCAACCACATCGAATACCTAAAAGATGTCTGCCCAAGGGCCGGAGCGGATCGATCCGCCGTCCACCCTTGGTTGTTGCGACCCTGGAATATCTAGAAAATTTTCGCTCGCACTACTTCGTGACCCTATGACAAAGAGCTTATTTAAGTGCGGAGCGTATAGCGCATGCAAGTCGACGCACCCCTTCAGCTAACTTCTCCTCATGGTCCCAGGCGAAACAGAGCCGTATGCCTCGGTCAAAACTATTCTTGCTAGTGTCGGGGTCGCCTTGAACACGGAATCGGTTACCAGCAATAACATTCACCTTATACTCTTGAAGCGCTACGGTCGCAATATCATCCGCCTGTAGTGGTGGGGGCAGCTTGATCCAGACAAAGTATCCTCCCACAATTTCTGGCGATGTGGATGGAAGCGTTACGCCAAGGGGAAGGAGGTGCTCACGGACGGCAGACATCAGGCGATAGTAGCGCTCTGCATACCTTGGTCGCAAGACCTGGTCGACGTAGGTTTGGATGAACCGCGTGGGGAACAGTTGAGCTATGATGGCAGCCGAAAACTGTGATGGGGCGCCACCTGACCGTGATGAGCCTCTGTTGCCCATCAGATGTTAATAGTGTCATTCACCCCAAAGGGAAGTTTAACACATACGTTTGCGATAGACCATAGGCAAATTGTTCAGTGCCCTCTGCCCATCCAGTTCTTGCACCAGGGCCGATGAGCTTGCTAAAGCTTCCATTACTTACCACATTGCCCCACTCATCCTTAGGGCCACCATCAAGGTAGCGATCCACGTCCACTACACGAGGGATCTGAGCCTTGTCGGGCTGTGCTAATGGTTTTTCGGGATCAGGCGACCATTGCAGAAAATCATAAACGTCATCTGTCACAATGAGAGCATCAAACTCTCGCGCAAGGCGGACCAAGCCCTCCCGATCTGCCAACGACATTGTCAGAGTCGTGGGGTTGGAAAATGTGGGCGTGGCGTAGATAAGATGTTTATAAACTTTAGCCCATGGTCTCGGTAGTTTGTATTTCTTTTAACCATTAGCCTTATTATTCCGTACTCAGAAGACATACGAATATGGTTCATCAACGTGAGAAATCAGGTATGATTGTAGACATGCGCCCTGAATCCCTCGAGAAGACTGTCATACCGGTTCAAGACGCTGCTCAACTTGAGCCTTCTCCTCGGCCTTAACCAACTCTTGACGGAGAAATGTAAGATCCAGACCTGACTCATCATGAGGTACTGCTCTCAAGCGGCCAGCAAACCCGGCGTCGTCCATTATCCGACATGCTAAGAAATAGGTGGGGGCCACCATCCAAACATTTCTAGTATACGAGGGATCCGTGAAGACTTGAAAGATACAAGCCAGGTTTTGACTGGCACCGCCCGTTATACAGATGCGCTCGGCAGAGATAGGATGACGGGGTTGGTAGAAAGCCGTCAACCATTGGGCAAGGTGTTCTCGCAACGGTTGGTAACCCTCATCGGGGCCATACATTAAAGCCGGAACTCGGATGGTTGGTGAAGCCAGGACTGTGGCGGAGGCCTCAGCTAAGGCATCTGTGGGCAGCAAGGCGGGGTTCGGCCAGCCACGAAACAGGTTGACCTCTTCTGGAGATTCCATCGTGTATGGGTATCTGACAGCAGTGACTGTGGGTAATAAGGTATCAATCTAATCTCTCTGTGGCCTATCGATGACAATCATGTGTGACCCGGTGGTCATCAAGTTTGTTTGCACCCTTGGTACAATCAATGAGATTCCTCAATTTTGCATACAATTATATATCACGGGCCACCACGTCAGCAACACTGCCTTATTCCGTTCGTTGGAGTTGAATATTGTGGCTCGTGCATTCGCTTTTCGTTTCCTAGTAATATTCGGCTTACTCCGACGATGCAGCAGCGAAGGTCGACTCGGGTACCGGAATGTCCATCGTTGAGAGATGTGAGGATGGGCAAAATTGCGACGTGACGGTATACGAACGCCAAGACACAGGTACCAGATGATAGTAGAAGGCGGTGATGTAAATCCTCAATCCTTTCCAAATACTTATTGGTCACCACCAAGATCGGATCCGGATGGCTCGTTGTACTGGTAATTACCAGGAGTATAATTTGACTTACAGCGTACGAAAGTAGATTGCAAGAGAGACTTGTCATTTACATTACGACTTTAGCTGAAGCGTAGGTGCCATGGAAAATAAAAGTTCTGAAAGTGACACGTCAAACCTTGTTTCTCCAATCGGTTGCTCATGTACAGAATGATGCTCAATTAATATGGGCCATGGAAGGAGGAAGTACCTACGTAGTAGTCATACGTATGTATAGTACGCGGTACCATAGGCCCGCTGCTATTCTTAGCGTGCGCCTCCTCCAGTTCTTTTCACACAACGGTTTTCTATTTGGGTATTACCGGGTAAATTACCAACTTTTCCCCCAGAATTGACAGAGTCAAGAGGAAGTTTAGAGTATTGCTTTTCCAGATACATTCATTGGATTGACACTTAATAACTTAGTCATCTAAGCGAAGGTGGAAAGGGAGTCCGCGGTTGTGGGTTAGAATTCTGTCCGAAATGCAGCCTGGGAACAGGACTAGTACTAGTAGTAGGATCTGGATGTTGGAGGGGCGAAAAAAAAGCAAAGGAAAAAAAAAGTTATGCTCACTTCGGAGTGCCCCTGGATAGAAAAGCATATCCACCTGTCAGCGTCAGCAGTCGATTGTACAGTGCTCTACATTAACATGCTAATAAATAATTATAGTGCTGGTGTAAGTGCCAGATGATGTACACAATGGAATTCTTATAAGGAGATAAATAATTATGCGTTATATATTTTGAAGCTATTTTATTCTCGAAACAACAATGTCCGAGCCAGGAACCACTTGGAAATATTAATTTATTACTTCGTCACCATTGACTGATCCATAGGCAACAGACCCGGGGTTCTGGATCTCGATGGAAGACTCCGAAGAGCTCCGGAGGACCGGGAGAGCGTGTTGACAGGGGTTATATTACCAACTAGACCGCTTAGAGGAGTACTATTAGTGTTCAGTTCGGCTACAATTCTTGAGGCTGTATATATATCGATGCCTGGTATTATTGGCATGGTAGGGAGGTAAGGGAAAAAAAAAAAAAAAATAAAGAAGGGAAAGAATAAGAGTGTTCACTAAACCAGTTATAGAAAAGAAACAAGATGACCTATGGATAAAAAGGAAAAAAGGGTTCGACCAAAGATAGGTTATTATCCTCAAAGAATGCACAGTAGTAATAATTCTGCCTTGGGAGAACAGAATCTACTAACTAACAGATGATGATGATGATGATGATGCCATCCTTGAGCCTCCTGAACCAGGTAAAAAGCACAGCCTCTCCCGACTCCCCCCCCAGCCCACTTCCTTCAACCGGTTTGGATGGCGGACAAGAGTGATACAGGTCTTTTACTCCGTAGTACTCCGTTCTCTGTAAGAAAAAAGCTCTAGAAAGGTTGTAGAAGTGAAAAAAGCGAAAAAAAAAAAAAAA